GCTTTTTTCTTTTTGCTTATGTGGTGCTGAGGAATCGAACCCAGGGCCTCAGGCATGCAAGGCAAGCACTCTACCACTGAGCCATCTTCCCAGCCCCTGAAAAATAATCTAAAATAAAAATGACTAGAGGTGTTGCCAAGTGGTAGAGCACTACTGCTAAAAACGTGTGTGTGGGTGGCGGTCTGTGTGTCTCAAATTAACAGAAAATTTAAAATACCTCTTTCATCTGATTCCTCAGAAAACCTTTTTACTAACCTTTTCAAACAAAGGTATTCTTTAAAGGTTGTATCTTGCCTAACAAATTTTATGTGAAAGGGTAGAGCCCCACTCCTCGGCCCTCTTCTAACAGGAACACCTGTGCTTAATGAAGTAAGAGAAGCAATTACTACAGGGTGAATCTTTCTTTTTATCAAGGTGAGTTCCTGTCTTGTAACACCCCACTAAATGCTCCTGTCTCGTACTATATGCACTTAACACAACCATTATACAACTCAAAAGTTTGTATTTGTATTTTTATCAATGTTTTCCAGAGAAATCAGTATCAATACGTACCATTATTTATTTAGTGGTGGTACTGGGGCTTCAAGTCAGGGCCTGGATGCTCTCCCTTATCTTTTTCCCTCAAGATTAGCACTCTACCATTTGGGCCACACCTCTACTTCTGGGTTTTTGGTGGTTAGTTGGAGATAAGGCCTCACGAAGTTTCCTGCCCCATTTAGCTCTGAGGTAAGATCCACAGATCTCAACTTCTGAGTAGCTAGGATTATAGGAGTGACCACTGGCTCTCAGCTAAGATTTTTTTTTCTTTGGTAGGTCGTGGGGCTTGAACTCTGGACCTGGGCACTGTCCCTCAGCTCTTCAGCTCAAGGCTAGGGCTGTACACTTGAGCCACAGCACCACTTCTGACTTTTTCTGCTTATGAGGTGCTAAGGAATCGAACCCAGGGCCTCATGCATGCAAAGCAAATACTCTATCACTGAGCCACCTTCCCAGCCCCACCAGCTGAGATTTTAATGTTTTAAATCTTCGCTTTTAACAGTGTCTTAAAAAAAAGTAGGTAACTGTAATGTGATTTTCAATGTTGAGGTTTAAATGTTTTTTTTTTTTTTTAACAGATCACTTTTTTTTTTTTTTTGCCGGTTGTGGGACCTGAACTCTGGGCCTGGGTGCTGTCCCTCAGGTCTTCAGCTCAAGGCTAGCTCTCTGCCACTTGAGCCACAGCGCCGCTTCCGGCTTTTTCTGCTTATGTGGTGCTGAGAATCGAACCCAGGGCTTCATGCATGCAAGGCAAGCGCTCTACCTCTGAGCCACCTTCCCAGCCCGAGGTTTAAATGTTTTTTAAGGAAATTTCGGATTCAGAAAAACCAAAGTAACTAATTAGTAAAAACATAGGTAAAAATGTAGGTACTTTTTTTTTTTTGGGTCCAGTCGGGGGGGCCTGAACTCTGGGCCTGAGCACTGTCCCTCGGCTCTTCAGCTCAAGGCTAGCACTCTACCACTTGAGCCACAGTGCCACTTTCTGGCTTTTTTCTTTTTGCTTATGTGGTGATGAGGAATCGAACCCAGAGCCTCATGCATGCGAGGCAAGCGCTCTACCACTGAGCCACCTTCCCAGCCCGTAGGCACTTTTTCTCTTAAGACACGAAAGTGGTATGCAATGACTTGTGGTGACAAGCTGGTGAGGCTGAACTTTAGTTGCATTTATTCAGTCAAATACTCATCTCGATGCTACTGTGACAAAACGTCTCTCATCAGTTCATGTTCATCAGAAGAGAGATGATGACGGTGGGCCTGGCCTATTCAGGGCGAAGCATATAGGCCTTCTCTGCATTTAGAGACTCTCTAGCAGCTCTGGATCTTCCTTCCCAGACTACCTGCCTTTGACTTAGGCCTGGCTTAGGTAGCCACCATTACTGTATAAATGAACTCCTTATGATAAATCCCTACCTGTTTTTTTCTGTTTTGTGGTGGTCTGAACACTGGTGCCTATGTGTTCATATCTAACTATCAGTGTGATATATTTACTGTCAGGACCCAACACAGGACAGACTCACCAGGCACAACAAGAAAAACATCACTGTAAAACCCAAGAGAAGGGAGCAGTAGAGACAGAAAAATAAGACTTAAGAGCTAACCCTGCCATTTCACTTAACCTCAGCTTGATTTTCCTGACTATAAAATGGAGCCAAAAAAATCTCTAACATCTCCCCAAGGTTCTAACAACAAAGGACAGAGGACACACACTGATCCTGAAGCAAAACAATATCTCTAATAAAACATTTCTCATACTTAACATCCCTATTTTTATGTTTAAGAAACAAAAAGAGATGGGTGCCGAGATGGGTGCCAGTGGCTCGCCCCTGTCATCCTAGCTACTCAGGAGGCTGAGATCTGAGGATCGTGTTTCAAAGCCAGCCTGGGCAGGAAAGTCTGTGAGAGTCTTATCTCCAATAAACCATCAGAAAACCAGAAGTGGCCCTGTGGCTCAAGTGGTAAAGCACTGGCCTTGAGCTGAAGAGCAGAGGGACAGGGCCCAGGCCCAGAGTTCAAGCCCCACGATCCACAAAAAAACAAACCACACACACACACACACACACACACACACACTTAGCAGATGCACATACAGTGTCTCTGAGCTTCATTCTGGTCTTCAGTTTACTTCTTTTATTTAAAATCCTTTGACTTTAGCATCTTTTCTGACACTAAGCTTCCTACCATTTAGTATAAGACCAAAGCCACACCTTCCAGAACTTGAGAGTACACACAAGAAGGAGCACTAGAGCCTAAAGAAACCTGTATTATATGTCAACAATTTCCTTAAAAAGACTGACTTTCTAGCTACTCAGGAGGCTGAGATCTGAGGATCAAGGTTCAAAGCCAGCCCAGGCAGGAAAAGTCTGTGAGACTCTTATCTCATCAATAAGCCACTCAGAAAACCAGAAGTGGCTCTGTGGCTCAAGTAGTAGAGCCTAGCCTTGAGCTGAAGAGCTGAGGGACAGCGCCCAGGCCGAGTTCAAGCCCCGAGACCACCACCACCAACAAAAAAGACTGGCTTTCATGAAGTTCATTTCATCTTATGCTAATAAACCTATTTCTAAAAAGTTTTAGGTAAAATAACTTACTTTGAATAACTAGAAAAATTTGGTTGATTCTGAGAATGACCAGGTTTGGCAGGCTCTGGTAGGTGGCTGGCAGGAATGTGTGCAGGTGGTTTGTTCTCAAAACTTCTTCGGTCAAAGTATGAGAGCTGCTTTCGATAATACTCTTCATCTTCCTCAGGATCATAATGATTTGACCGAACGATATCTTCAGGAGGCTTCACCTGAGGTTTTTGAGGTTCTGGGATCCTGGCAGATAATGAGTGACAGATGGAAATTCTTTTTAGATGTTAACTTTTGAAAGAAAAGGAAATCATGTCATTTTGATCTTTGCAGGAACTGCTGTGATTTCTAAGGATTTAACTAAACAACAGTAGAACAGCTACTTCCAGGTCCTCTGGAAGGTAGGCTCCTCCTGTCTCCTGAGTCCTTCCACATAGTGCAGCAAGCTGCTTTATCTGTTTAAGGGGTCTCAGCAGGGTTAGAACAGTTCATCGGGAAGCAAGGAGGGAGTCGAACCACACAGTGAGCTGCCAACACCAACTGCAACAAATGATATGCTTTAGGATTTCACAGAGTACTCTGAAGAAAACCTTTAAGAAATTAAGATGGTGGGCTGGGAAGGTGGCTCAGTGGTAGAGCGCTTGCCTTGTATGCATGAGGCCCTGGGTTCGATTCCTCAGCATCACATAAGCAAAAAAGCAAAAAGCCGCAAGTGGCGCTGTGGCTCAAGTGGTAGAGCGCGAGCCTTGAGCTCAGGAGGGACAGCGCTCAGGCCCAGAGTTCAGGCCCACGACTGGACCCAAAAAACAAAACAAAACAAACAAGGAAATTAAGATGGGAGGGGATGAACTTTGAAATACAGTACAACTATGCATAAAGGTCGCCTAAAAGGACCTCAACAAAAGTTGCTGGTCAAGAAGGGGTTCAGCATTTGCTGATCAAGTATGAGAGCTCTGAGTTTAAAACTCTGGAACCCTAAAACAAAAATCTAGATAAGGTTTGTGTACTGAGGTATAATGAAGGTTTATTACACAATGTATATGGAAGCTTTTTATTATTATTCATTTTTGTAGAACCAGTGTTTTAAGCGAGCTTTTGGCTTTTGAGGAAGAACAAGATCTTCTGACCTCCTTTTCACCCTCTCTTCTACTAGCAGTACAAGGTGTTCTCCCCTAACAAGGTAAACTCCCAGTCAGCTCTGTCACAACTGCCACAAACATACCCACCTGTAGAGAGTTTTGTCATGTTCACTGAACTGATTCTGAGACGTGGGCTTAGGGGCAGTGATGGGGGCACCTGGAGGTTTCGATGCTACTTCTGATGGCTGTAGAGATAAGACAAAGAAAGAAGTTCAAGGAATGGACAGCTACTGCCACAAAGAATTCTTTGCGTAGAGGGGAGGGTGGGGAGGGAGCGGAGCAGCATCTGTTCTTCACTTCCCTACCTGCGTATCCAGGCACACTGATGTTCTCACCTTAAAACTGACAGTGTCAGTCCCATCCTTCTTGTTCTCCAAGGATGCGGATCTTTTGTTCTCAAACATTTTAACTCTGGTGAGAACAGACTGTGGTTTCATTGCCGGATCCTCTTCCTCTTCAGTTAGGGTTGGGGGTGGGGGCAATGGTTTGGCAGTTGCAGGAAGGGCTTCGGGCTTATGTTGGGAGGAAGGTAGCAGAGGAGGGACAAGCGCAGCACCATGAAGAGGCTCGTAAAGGCCTGCTTTGGAGGTAAATCCTTGTGATGCTACTTGCTCATAATTTCGTGAGTACTGGTCAAAATACGGCTTGGGCTCCGAGGGCTTAGGAGCAGCTGAGTAGGGCTGGGCTTCCGGTCTGTATCTGCTGTGTATATCATATCCGGGGACTGGCTGCTCTTCACGTCGTAGGGTGGAGGTTCTAGGTGGTGGTTCATAGCGTGGTCTACTGTCATAGGAGAGAGGGGCTGGTTCTTCAAAACGTTGGAAATAGCCTCGTTCTGAGGGCTCTGCTGGTAGCTGTCTGGAGTCAAGGTCTCGAGGAGGCTGACTATGGAAAGGGGGACGAGGCTGGGCGGACTGTCTGTCATCATAGTAAGACCACTGTTCTTCATAGGGAGGGACTTGTTCTTCATATTGCAGGCGATGGTCATAGTTTCGAGAGAATTGGTCCGTATAGTTTGAGGAGTCATATCTGTATGTGGGCTGCTCAAGGTCTCTGCTGGCTTGCTTCTCTAAGTATGGAAGTTGGGGTTCATAGGTCAGATTTGCCTCTTTGTCTGGCCTCTGGCCTGGGTGGCCAACTGCTGGTTGTTTCAAGATGTGATTCTGTCTCATCATTTCCTCAGGATATGGATCTTTTCTATATACCTGTATAAAAAATTCACACTTGAGAAACAGGGATCATTTTCAATTCTACTCTATTTAATAAATACTAAATTATGACGAACATATGAAAATAATATGTTCCACCATTTTATTACCAGCATAGACAAGATTAGTGGAGAAAGCTAGTTTAAGTAAAGCGCAAAATTTGCAGGTAGGGGCTTTCATGTTTTAGCAAATTCTAAATGAAAAGTGAGTTAAAGATAAATTAATAAATTTAGTAGAAAATTAATGCATTGAGCTGATTCATTTGATTTTGACAGCAAAAATGAAAATCAGAAACTGTATGGTTGCCACAATTTGTATCAACAAAAAGATTGATGATGGGTCTCAACTACATTTTAAGGAATTCTGGAAGCTACCGAAAACCCAAAATAAAGATAATAAAAATCTTAAAGCACACATCTCAGTCAAAAGGCCTCTTTCTCAAATCATCAGTAGACCACGGGAAGCCATGCACACTACGAAACAGAAAGGATCTGTACTGAGTTGAAGCACTAGAGTGCGTAAGCCCACAGTAAAAAGCAAAGGAAAACTGAAAGGGTAAAGCAACAACAATCATGTGTAGATTGATGGAGAGCAACAGATCAGTGCGGCACTGCGGCACAGGTACCTTTGCTGGATCTACATGCGACGGCAGTGATGCTTCTTGATCCCTTAGCATTATGTGAGCTGCCTCAGCACTTGGTGTTCTTAAAGAATCAGCTTGTGGTGAGTGACAGGTAGAAGGAGCTGGGGCGGGCTCCTCCAGTCTGACATTAGTTAAATTTACATTGGGATTAACTGCAGAGGTTGATGATGCTGGGTTTGTTTCAGGCGAAAGGTAAGGGACTGGAGATGAGGCTTCTGCTTTCTGTGAAGTTTTTAAAATATTTTAAATATAGTGTTTTTGTTTCCTGCTAACTTCTCACGTCAATTTATCGTGACGGCAGACATACATTTAAAGGCCCTGAGTAGCAATGTTTAAGTTATCACCTACTGTACTAATTTTTTTAATTCAATATATTGCTGTGTAAGTTGAACACACTTTTAAAATCTAGAATTAAGTCCTTGGTACTTTGAAGCTAAAGATTAAGTCTTAATCTGGACAAAGGACAAAATATATTCTTTCATTCAATCACCACATTGTCAAATTTAATAATGCACTGCTAGCTACAAAACGTCGAAGGCTCACTGCTTACCTGTTGAGAGGCTGTCTTAAATCCAGGGGAGTCTATTCTATGAATAGGTTGTGGCTGGGCTTGTGGTGGGTAAGGAGGATATGTTTGGTTTTCATGATGCATTCCAGAGGAGTCCTCTCTTACAGGCTCAGAGGACCGTGTAATGGCAGACTCCGGTGGAGTCCCCACCTCATCATTAAGAGTTTCATCTAGTTCTTGATCAGTGTAGGCCCCGCCTTCTGTATCTGTGTCTTCATAGTCAGAAGTGTGTCTACTGTCCGTGCTATACATTGAGTACTCACTACCTGGGGCTGACAGGTAGGACAGACGATCATCATGCAAATCAAGGTCATCACTTGTAGCACCATCCGCCTGGGTCAAATAAAAGTAAATTAAAAATTTTATTCAGCAGTTCTTTAAGAGATGGCCTTTATTTTACAAGGGAGACTGGAAAAGGGTATTTTTGTTGGAGAAATCGTATCTGTTTCTTGAAACTTCTGGTGAAGAAAGGGCAAGAAGATAGTACACGCACACATGCAGACATACATAGCACCCACTGAGATCTGAAGGGCTTGGATAGAGGCAACGGTGATCGGCCAACCAGAACAAAGCTAGACTCCAGGGCTCAGCCCCAGAGAACAATAAAGACATCCTGGCACTATACATATTTATAAATGTAGACACTAGCTTTTTATTAGTTCAAAGCCAAGGTGAAGAGGGAGAATGCTAACAAACCAAGCTCATAAACACAAAGACACACTGACAGAACAGTGCACGTGAGAATAACTACAATAAACCCCATGGTTCAAGTTGAATAAGAGATACTATGTTCAGAATACATATTGTTTAAGGTTGGCCTTTATGGAAGCTTTTTATGGAATGTAACAAAAATCAGCACCTATGTAGTGGTTGTCCCACTCAATTAAGAAGATGTTTTAAATTACTTTTCATAGAAGTAGTTAGTATTCAATAGATGAAAAGAAAGAAAGCTGGTTATGCTTCTCTTTTGCAAGAGCTCTGATAACTTCTAATGGTCTACAGTCTACATCAGTTTCGGAGGCAATCAGAAAGTGAGGAGTATTTGAGGGAAAAGGAATTCTGTGATTGTAATCAGCAGATTGTTACTAGGCACTAATTTGAAACTAGGACTTGAATTAACAGAACAGCCCTTGAAGATGTTGCCTTGACATGGTACCTAGTTAAGCCTGAGGCGCTGAGGAATATGGAATCCCGAAATCAGAAGTTGTATGATGAATTTTCACACTAAATGAATGAATGACAACTCTAAGACTTTTGGTCTCCACGAACAGCACGACTAAGTAGCAGATTTAGTGCTCCCTCACAAGACTGCTGTGCCAAGGAGCACAATCTTGGGAGTCAGGATGCCTGAATAGAGCTTTTCATCAAATCCCAGCTTAGTTCCATAAGCGTGTGAACACTTGCCTTCCTGGTCAGAAACATGAAGGTGTGTCAGGCCTTCCCTTCTTCTTTCTATCAGAGTATCTGCCAGCCGGAGGAGCGAGAGAATCTCAGGGCTTGAAACCTCACTGGCTTCTAAATGCTATAATGGTTGCTGCAGAAGAATATTCTTGCTATTTACTTCTAATCTTTAACTTGCCAGGGAAATATTTAAAGCCTAGGGAAGAGTAACTGAGAATTCACCAGTCCACCTCGTTTCTACACCTGGTTTGAAATGCACAAATAAGCAAGAATCATGGGTTGTTTTGAACGAGGAAATGTTAGTTACATCTACATGATAAGAATGCTTCAAGATGACTTCTCTTGATTTAGTAGGAACCGTAAAAAAGGAAACTCTTCCAAGCAATTAGGACAAATTAGTTTTAGCAAAGTCAATGTGAAAACAAGTGTTTTTTTTTCTTTATAGTCTGACAAAGTACAATTAGATGTCAGGGCAGGAAGAGAAATCAAGGCTGATTTAAGTTGTAACAACTTTTCTTAGTTTTAAAATGCATCAAATCTATTCAATAATAGATCATCCATGTTTCCTCAGATGGAAGATTGAAGTCAGATCTGTATTTTAAAGGCAAGCAAAGAAAGGAAGTACGTAATATTCCAAAGACATATTTTAGAAAATTAAGACTGTGACTAAAAAAACAAAAAAAACACCTCTCAGGAGCAAAGATTTAGACTTGTTTCAAAAGTTTACTAGTGAAAGCCATTACTATTCTACCTGACAAGAGACTAACAGAAGTGCATACAGTTTATAGAAGTTTAGTAGGGCAAAGCCTGCAAATTTTTTTTTTTCTATAATTGCCACAAAAGTAAAAACTTGATAACTGTGTTGCTGTAGTGTAGTGTTTTTCCCCCCACCTTGAATTTCCTCTTCTGGTGTCTCTGCTGACATGTAAGTTATTTAGAGATACTGGCCTCTCACCAGCATGGTCTACCCCCCAAATAGTATATGATGACAAAAAGTATGGTTCTGCTGTTTAACCATAGCTGAGCATGGTGCAACACGGCTAGCTAATACACTAGGAGCCACTGTTTGCAGAGGCTGTGTGTCTGGAAAGGGGCACACGGTCTTACTCATGCATCATGCACTACCAGCCAGGCAGAGGACGACGGTAGAGGCCATGCAGGGGCAAAACACAACAAAAACCAAACCAACAAGGAAATACAAAAAAATGAAACAAAAAACTTCCCTAACAAGCCAAACTTACTAATAGTGCACTGATCTGAAGAAGGTAAAAGGCATTATAAACAAAGTTTCCTTTAGTTTCCTTTAACAGTGTACTTTGAGAAATGATGAACTCTCCAAACAAAACACAAAGACCCTTTCCATCCCAGAACTGCTACAAAACCAGGCTGACAATAGAAAGCAATTATTTTAAGCTGGCCATTTGGGTGCATACAAAATCAAAACTTAAAACCAAAAAAGGTCTGTTGTACTTAGTATTTTCCAGGTTAAGGAGGTTATAATGGGTGCTAAGTGGGGAAAATATTTGCAAGGTAAAAAAACTAACGGGAATATTTACAAGGCTTCTCATGGTCTTTATCATGCTAGTGGCCGCTGTGGCAGCCCTCAAGTCAGGACCAAGCCCTGCCCCATGCATGCTGAAGACAGCACTCCGGGAGATGCTCAGGCCAGCCCAAATCCCCTCATTTTCACAGGAAATTGAAGTCAGGTTCAAAGGGAATTGGTTTTCATTAGAATTTGAGAATTCGTCACAAAGAATCCCACTGGAGTGGCTATTTAATAGGGACAGAAATTTCAGAATCTTTTAGTATTGAAAACAGCTTTTATCACCCCTACATACAAATGTTAAAAACACAAAAGCTAACTTTTCCAAAGTTACTTGTATGTCTCAGTTCAGTAAGAAAACTCTGGTAACTCAAAGGTATCCTTGGCTAGTTGTAAAATTTAATAAATGGGTCAAGCAACTTAATAGGAAATGTCTTACCTTTCCCTCTGAAACCCAGACCAGCTGGTTCTGTTGCTGTTGAACTGCTTCTTTCAATGCACCATACCAACCATCATTCATTGAATTTAAGTTAATTGTAGCTGAGAAGAAATCAATAGTTTTATGGTTAAAACACTGCCAACAGGCAGAATTCACTCAACAATTTTTTTGTTTTTAAAGAAAAGCATCATTACTGACAAAGATGGTGCTAGGGGATTAAAAACATTTGAAATTTCTATTTTGGACATTGTACATTTACTTTTTATTCAATCAAACATTCTCCTTCAACTCTTAACATGACTTGAAGTTTTCCAAGCAAAGATCATGTAAAAATTTTAGTATTTGAACAATGTAACATTTTTGCCTGTATACTGTTGCCTGGACATTTTAAACTGAAAGAAGAATTAATATACTCACTTGTAAAAAGGTGATGATTATTTTTACGAAGTTTATGAGATCGTTCATATAGTTTCCTGGCACTTTTCCGAGATTCTGGACATAACCTCATTCTCATCGTTTTCACACCTTGCTTAGAATCCGGGTTAAGAAATACAACAATTGGATACCACTGTGCATAATTAAGACGATCAACAGCATTTGGTGTTACATCTAATAAAGCATGTTTGTCCTGGAGAAAGAAAAGTATTAAACAAAAATATTATACATATAAGACATCATTAGTATCTTCAAAATGGCCACAGCTTAAACTATGTCTCAATTTTAATAAAACTTTTTTAGGATGTCTTAGGAGAACATGTTAAAAAGAAGTTAATTTCTAACATACTTTAAAATTTAAAAAATCAATGTATATTTAAGACATGGCTACAGTACATAAAACTTAATACTATTATCTGTGCTACATGAAAAAAAGCTCATCAATTCAATTTTCCTGGCATTCTCTCACATTAAGTGCACCCTGAGTTGCACTATTCAATAGTCTGTCATTTTGAACATCATATATGATTGCAGTAATAAAGGATCACCTTTTGCTGCTTATAATAACTACTTCTTTAAAAGTGGTTACTATTAATGTCTTTTGCTAAGGGCTTAATTTGTTTATGGTGTATCAATTAAAATCTGAGGAAAACTACTTTTGCTTTCAAATTAAATCGAGTTTTCTTACTCAGAAACACAGCATTTTAAGTTTTAAAGCAAGTAAGTCAATCTTATTCTTTTGGTCAGTAACGTGATTTGAACTCAGAGCCTGGGCACTGTACCTGAGCTCTTTTGCTCAAGGCTAGCACTCTACCACTTTGAGCCACATCGCCACTTCCAGTTTTCTGGTGGTTTCCCATACCAACTGGCTTTCAACAGTGATTCTTAGATCTCATCCTACTGAACAGCTAGGATTACAGGTGGGCTATCAGCACCCAGCTTAGGTCAATCTTTAGTAACTTACTTGATCTATTATTTGCTTGATTGTATGAAGGCGAATAATGCCAGAGCTACGTTGGTCAGTTCCAGCATCTCGTGGTTCACTCTCTATGCACAAAGACAGGACAAAAAAAAGTATATTTTCATTTGGTTAGATCAGAAGTTCCCGACTACTAGGCACAAAAGAAATTCTGGATCCTGTGGCGAGCTGTGCATTTTGGCCTGTAGTAGAGGTCTAGAGCAGATGAGCAAATACTCTTCCCCCTAAGCAACCTCTTCTCATTCACTGTGAAAGCCAACCCCAGCCCCCACAGCCCATGTAAGAACCAGACTGGGTTAGACATCAGGACTGGAAGGAGGCAAATGAGGCACTGGCTTGGGGCAAATAAGGGAATAAAGATTGTTAGTAGTCAAGACAATAATATGACACAGTAATTTCCAACAAATCCTAATAAACACAAAAATATCATAATGGACAACCTATCAAAATTTTAAAAATCAATTAGTACAAGCTGAGTAAAAATTAAAGATTGTCACTCAGCCAAAAGAAATGATTAATGCAATAATTCTCTCAATGAGATCAAGACTTTTCTTCAAACTGTATCCAGTCTTCCAGAAAAGTAAAAATCTGTGTTTGATGTAAATAAAAAAATACCTAAACGTAAAATAGTATGAGTTTTTTCATGTTTACTGTTTTTCCAGTGTTTATCCAACTACTTGTATATTCTGGGAAAAATCAGCCACTAGAAATTGATAAAATGCGAAAAAAAAAAGGTATGCATATATTTCTTTTCTTTACTTTTTTTTTTGTTTTTTGTTTTGCCGGTTGTGGGGTCTGAACTCTGGGCCTGGGCACTGTCCCTCAGCTCTTCAGCTCAAGGCAAGCGCTCTACCACTTGAGCCACAGTGCCACTTCTGACTTTTTCTGCTTACGTGGTGCTAAGGAATCAAACTCAGGGCCTTTTGCATGCAAGGCAAGCATTCTACCACTGAGCCACCTTCCCAGCCCCTGAGGAATAATTCAAAGAGGACACTAACTACACAACTTGAGCCCCAATGATGACAGCATGGGCACAGAGTAACCTGACTCAAGCATGAGCCCTCCCCATGGCTGAGTTCTAGAAATGTTTTTAACTGCTCACCTAATTCTTCTCCTAAATTTGGTTAAAAATGGAGTCACTAACAACTTCTACAAGTAATCTACAAACAATGGCCAAAAGACTTCTAAGACAACAACCAAAAAAGCCCTAATAAACAGAATGAGAAATCAGAATAGCAATTTCTAATTTGTTCCAATTTTACTATCCTATGTCTGCAAATCTGACATTACTTACAACTTTATCATCAACCAAATAAAAAGCAATCAAAAAAAAGATATTGTTGTGATCTTTAACAGTATGTAGTTAGCAAATGTTAAAAGAAGCATAGCTGGGCACTGGTGGCTCATGCCTGTAAATCTAGCCTCTCAGGAGGCTGAGATGTGAGGATCATGCTTCAAAGCCAGCCCAGACAGAAAAGTTCTATTTTTTTTTGGTTGGTCATGGGGCTTGAACTCTGGGCCTGAGCGCTGTCCCTTAGCTCTTTAGCTTAAGGCTAGCGCTCTGTCAGAAAAGTTTTTTTTTTTTTTTTGGGGGGGGGGTCTGGTCGTGGGGCCTGAACTCTGGGCCTGGGCGCTGTCCCTCAGCAATTCAGCTCAAGGCTAGCACTTTACTTGAGCCACAGCGCCACTTCCGGCTTTTTTTCTTTTTACTTATGTGGTGCTGAGGAATCGAATCCAGGGCCTCAGGCATGCAAGGCAAGCACTCTACCACTGAGCCACCTTCCCAGCCCCAGAAAATTTCTTTATCTCCAATTAACCACCAGAAAACCGGAAGTGGCTCTATGACTCCAGTGGTGGAGTGCTTGCCTTGAGCTGAAGAGCTGAGAGACAGCACCCAGGCCCCGAATTCAGGCCCCACGACCGACTGAGGGGAAAAAATGGAGTATAGACTCTCAGACTTTCCTACATACCTGGACTAGCTTCAAACCACTCCTCAAATCTCAGTTTACATGAACAGCTAGGATTACAGGCATGAATCACCCGTGCCCAGCTTCATAGTGGTATTTTTGTAATTAGAAAAATGCATCCCCCACAGTATAACCCCTGCTTTCTCTATATTTGATGTCAGTATAACTTGTGGAGGAGATGGGGAAAAACCAGTTGTTTCAGGACACAGGTGGACCTGTTGCAACAATGAGAAGTACAAGTTGTCATGTCCAAAACGAGCTTTACAATGTCGGTGCGGGGGGGGG